GTGACCTCCTGAAGGGCAGGGGCCGTGCCTGTGCCCCTGGTGTCCTCCACTGCCTAGTGTCATCCTGGCACCGAGAGGCACGGGGCCAGGGTCTGCAGGCAGCTGGAGTCCGCTGTTCACTAACAGGAAAGGGCAGTCACTTCATTGATCCATTCCCCCAAACCTACTGCACACCTGCCTCTGGTAAGCTTGCCTTCTCAGCCTAACACAGCCATTGTTTAAAAAGGCTCAGCAAACCAGGCCAGTTCCCCTGAGATGAGGTGGGGGACAATACAGGCCCAGTAGGGTTGAAGAGAGAAACTGTGGGGATATTTTGAAGAGAGGCATTGATTCTGGAAGAAGGGATTGAGGCTGGCTTCATAAAGAATGAGGCAGGAATAGACAAATAATTGAATAAGACCTCCTAACTCTGCACGGAACAGGCATCGGAATAGTTCATGTTTCTACCAGCCACTGAGCTCAGCGTTCTTAGGTGAAGTCTCACTGACTGCTCACAAAAACTAGCAAAGCCATTCCTGTTTTACAGATGAGGAAACTGAAACTTAGAGGCCAAGGAACCTGCAGGGCCATATGGTAGGATCTGGTCGAGCTGGGATTCCAGTGCAGGCGGTCAGGTGTCAGGCCCTTCTTGCAGCCTCTTGGCTGTGACGTGGGACCCACATGTGTTACTTCATTTTGCTTCCCAACAGCCTTCAGGGGGAGCGTGGCCAAATGCATTTTGCAGAGGGCATGGATATGGAGCCTGCCGCCCTGCCCCGGAGGCCCCGGTGTGACAGAGCTCGCGCTCCCCGCCATCACACCAGCTCTGCTCCCTTTGGGGTGGTTTCACTGTGGCCTGTTGCGTGTCCCTCCTCATCCTTTCCCTGCTTTGTTTCAGGGAACATCATTAAGAATGAAGCCTTGTACAGAGCCAGGATCCATCCCCTTTCTCTGGGCTCGCTCCTGAGTGCCTCTCGCCGGGAGGCCCTGGTGGACCACGTGGTGGAGTTCAGTACGGGCTGGCTTCAGGGAAAGTTCCAGGGCAAGCCACAGCACACGCAGATCTACCGGAAGGAGCAGTGTCCGGCTGGGCACCAGCTCCTCAAGGAGCCCCTTGGGCCCCCAGGCGGGTTCCAGAGGCTCACCTGGTGGTGCCCGCAGTGCCAGCCCCAGGTGCCCTCTGAGGAGCCACAGCAGCTCCAACACCCCTAGGGCGCTCAAGCTCTTCTTGGTACTTGTCCTTGAGGACCATGGGGCCTGTGTGTCCAGAAGGGAAGGTGTGGGCAGGGATTGTGGTGGCCACAGAGGACAGCCTGGGCTGTGAGGTGTCAGTAC